CCAAAAATGAGAAATCCAGAAATGAGGGATTTCTCTTTAATTTCTAATTAAGTTTGAAAAGGAATTCATATAGAGGAAAATCCTTCCAAAAATGAGAAATCCAGGAATGGTTTTGTATTTCCATAAGCCAGATTGGAGAGACAGTGTGGTAGTATTTCTAGGTCGCTGGACTGTAATAATGCTGTACCGTAACTAACATTGGTTTTCCAAATCTTGTAACTTTGGATTGTTGTCTAATATTACGTACTTTGGTGGTCTCAGCTGTCACTTTGAGCCCATACGCTGCAGTGATGAAGGTACTTGTAAGCAAGCCGTTCGAACCATGCGTATACATCAATATCACACGGCTGGTGGAAACACAACTGCAGAATGTTTGCTGCGTGAGCGGTCTTTGGTGCCTGTAGTTGCTAAAGGTCGGTGCTTCAGCTCCCTACTGCTGATTCCACAGAGAGTCCAGCATCTCTCCTGTGGCCAGCCACATATTCCGGCTTCGGTTCCAGTATGTCCACTGGGCCGACCGGATTTTGCGCGTAAGGGCTGTGTTGCCCGGGGTACGGCTTGTGAATCTGACAAAGCTACGCAGGTGGCGCCAAAAGCGGTCAATGATCTGGGTGCCACTCTTGACATTCAAGGTTCTACCGCCAGGGAGCTTCACCTTGTACACTTTGGTGTAGTGAGGCTTGATCCAAGTCACCTGCGCAAAGGTATGATGGCATACTTATTAGAGACAGTAAGCTCAGACACATTTTTATTTTCAATCATCAGGCCTTGCCATTGACCTTGACCTTCTTCTTCTGGTGTACTACGTTGCAGTGCACTACATCTGGGATCTTCAGCTTGTAGGCGCGTGCGCCATCGCTGTGAAGAATGACCTTCCTATCCTTCAGCAGCTTCACACCAACCTTCTCCCAGTCACGCTTCTTGATGGGACCCGGGCCTGGGGCACGCTGCTTTGTTGGTTTCGGGTCAAGCCGAAAGAGGCGAAGGGAGGATGGCTTGCCTCTCTGGACTATGCCTCCCCATTGCTCCCATGTGGTGTTGTATGATGTCTCAAGCGTAGCATCCGTGACCTTCCCAATGTCAACTTCATCCACTTCCACATCCTCCCAATTGCCGCCATAAGTGATCTCCTTCTCCTTGGAAATGACATACTGGGAGCGAGCTATCTCCAAGTTTGCGAAGATGCGCTCAACTGGCTTGTGGTCCATGTCAAGCACGAGGTGAGTAGCCACTGATGTGACTCCCGCAACTGCGCAGTACAATGTCGCCGCCTGGTGCGCCAGACTTGTGCATGAGTTGCCGGCCCCGAGGAAGAAAATTGGGTGGTAGTCATGGACCTGCAAGAGCTTCTGGCAATAACGGTGGACGCACCGGTATGCCCAGATCTTCTTGTCTTTGAAGTATTTCAATGGCGAGAGGAGACCCTTGTTGCAACGAGGACAGCACTGACCATGCCAATTGGGCAAGATCTTGTCTTGCTGTAGCTGTTTGATGAGTCTCCTGCCCTTCAATGCCATGAGCGCTTGAATGGACAGGCCCCAACGATCTCGAAAGGCCTTGTTCTTGGCGCTTGGTACGCCATGACGAACATACGGCACTGGGATGTAGTTCTGCCTGGAGGCGGGCTTTCGCTGAACCCGATGTTTTCCTCGTTTAGGCGCTGGAAATGAAGACTTGGTAGCTTTCATAGCCTTTTTCGGCATGGTGCGCAGCAATGGGGATCAGCTACTCGAAATCACTTGAGAGGCTGTAGCAATCATGTCACTTTTGCAGAATGCACTGTAGTATGACCTTGGGAGTGCATCTGTCGCACGTTTTGCGGCTGGAGCATTTTCGTACCTTTTACTGATGAAGGTCGATGCCTAGATTCCCTACCCGTGATTCCAAAGAGACTCGAATAAGTCTCTGTGGCCATCTACATATTCCAGCTTCGGTTCCCGTATGTCCACTGGGCCGACTGGATTTTGCGCTTAAGGGTCTCCTGCCCTGTGGAATGAACCTTAGAGTTTTCAAAACTGCCAACGCGGCTGCACTTGTAAAAACATTCCTGCAGTAATATAAAGTATACTGCTCAAGCTCATGTTTATGGTTCTATCCACTGACAGCTCATGAGCTCACTCATCGAGATCTGCCTCGTCCATCACGCGCTCAAGTTCCTGGCTCAGTGAGAGTTGGCCCTCTGCGTTAGTGACGTCCGAGATGTTGATTCGAAGAGATCTAGTGCTGCTCAACTTCGGGAAGGCGCCGGTGGCTTCGACTTGTTCCTTCTTGACGGAGACCTTGGAAAGGGCAATACAAAAACAATAACTTCTATGATACGTTGCGCGTTACTGTTTTGTCCAAGATACACTAGGGGTTCCATTCTCAGACTGCTGGTTGTCCCCATGTGGTGCAGTAGAAGATGAGGGCATATCTCCAGCCGGCTTTTCCTCTTTGATCTGCTCCTAATTTGTGAGGTCATTGCCCAAGAGAGCAGTCGAGGACTTGACGGACTTCAGCTTTTTGACTGGACGCTCTTCATCAGGGAGTTCAGATTCATCTGGATAATAGGTGGTGGTGCCCGAGATGCCAGCGAGGGTAGGCCTGATCTCCTTGATGAACTTGCGGCCACTCAGGAGTTCACGTCCTTCAACAGTTGAGCACATGGGTACATTGTCACCATCGAAGGCAGATTGGAGGAGGTTAAGGCTCCATTGCAGGTCCTGGTCATAGGAGGAAGGTCGATTGGTAAGTTCTCCTTTCAAATATGCGCCATAGGTAGGTCGCGCAGAATGAGAGATCATGCCAGTGTCCACACAAGGCCAGGAGATGCGTTTGACGGGATTGGTGTCGGTACCTGGCAACCGCAAATAGATGCCTTTATTGGTGAACACGACGAACACGGAGCGCTTGAAGACACCCATCAAATCCTCTCTGTTGAAATCACGATGAAACGATGGCCTAACGAGCTTGTAGAAGTCCTCAAAATTCACTTCGTCACTGACAGCATTGTTGGACATCGGAGGCTCTGCGGTGTCATCGAAAGGATTTGAGCAGACCTGACACAACTGATTTTTCGCATATGATGAAGCATTCCATCGCGCCATGGTCTTCCTGTCGATGCCAGATACCTCCGTGACTGCCTTGACAGATGCGGGCATCTCCATGTTAAGATTCCCATCATCAAAGACCCTGGGCTTGGTGACCCTGCCCTTCTCTTTCCTGAAGTAGTCCAGGTGGTTGCTAGTTTGGAACATGGGTGGCTGATCAGTTCTATCCTCTTGAAGAAGCCAGTACGCAGACACAATGGCCGAGACAGTGTAGGACACTGGACTCTTCCCTACTTCTGATCGGCCTATCCATACCACTGCGTGGTTCTTCAGGTGTGGGAGGACCGGACCAACCACATGGTTCAGAGCCCATGGGGTCAAGCTTTTCAGTGTCAAAGGCCAATCAGAGATAGTGTTGGCTTGGGATCCGCTGTCGGCCAGGCACCTCAAGTATTCCTTAATAACTCCACGATCCCACTTGCGCAGGGGACCGTTGGGATCGTTGACCTGTTCCTCAGTCCAGGTTGTAAACTCCCCAAGTGAGTTGTCCTGGGGCCCATGCTTGCGGATGAACTCAAAACCAGCTCGAATGTCCTCCGTCTCTTTAGGGACTTTGTTGGAGGCACCTGCTGGGATGAGTTTCTGGCACCTGATCTGAAATCCACCCAAGCCCTCCAGCATGTACTGAAAAGCTCTGCCACCCTCTCGAGAATGTTTCTGGAAATCAAGCTCCAGTGGCTGGCCAACGCACATGCCAAGGATCGTTGAGTGGAGAACCTTGGTACCGTCTACAAACTTGATGTGCTTGACGATGTTGTGCTTACCATCCTCTGCAGGCACGATGACTAACTGCATGTTGTAGGCCACCTCTACACGACCCTTGATCTTGATGGGGTCAGGAAGATCGGCGTACCTCTGCTGCAGAAACAAAGTTTCGATATGCTTCAAGTCGATTTCCCCTTCATAGTTCATGATAACGTCCAGAAATTGAGTTTTCTTTTTGAGGACGTCAGTGAGCTCTGCTTTGGCAGGAAGGTCCCCAATCTGTACAGAACCAACCTGCTTGTGCACAATCATTGGCTTCTCGAGTTGGAGAATTTTCAAACCGTCTGTGTTTGCAATTGCCTCTTCGAAAGTAAGGTCTCCATCAAGGTTTTCCTCGTGCTCCGATTGTGCCAGACTGATGGGGCGCTTTGGGATAGCACTGGCCATGATGAGCACAAGGGGTGCCCTAAGACAATGAATGCAAGAATCCAGAGCTTGAGATGCAATCTGCAGTTCGCATTTCATACTAAACAGCAGTCTTGAGTGAGTCAAGTTTCGCTCCCATGTAGACATTATCATACGGACAGTTTCTTTTTCACAGCGGCAGAAAGTTTATCTGTGCAATGTAGTATGCTGCTACCTCTTCCACTTAGTGGATGAGTGCGAACATATTTTCAGTAGTGAAATGCTCATCTCCAGTCCGAGCGAATTTTTTGCATCAAGGTTCGAAGTTGCATCAGGCGGTTGCCTTGGGCTGGCCTGAGGAAGGCTTTGCTATGGAAAGGTTTTCAAAGGAAGGAAGACCATTTGGATGATAGTTATGGTATCCATAGTGACAAGAGTAGTGAGAATAATAATAAGAATATGTCATACTGAATAAGAAATGTAATAATAATGTTCATAATAACAATAAGGATAATATTAACAACAGATTTCATAACAATAAGAATAATAAATAAAGACTGAATAAATAACAACATTAACAAGAAACAATACAAATGAAGCCAACAAAAATGGTCAAGGGAACTAATACTTTTCATATTAGTACTACTAATAATACTTTTATAACGGTTACTGATGAATAACATTAGCAACGTAAGAAGAATAATATGCCATTTATATTATGAAATATGGTATATACTGATTAGAGAAGTAGTACTCATGCTAATATTAAATACAATACTTAGGTGTTGAAATCTGTGATTTTCTTGCTATGGTCCCCCATACGACTTTTTTTAGTAATTTGCGCGTTCGACCGGCTATGACAGTTCAACGGGTAGGCGCGATGAAGGGGGGGCAGTTCAACAGGTAGGCGCGATGA